TAATATTGAAGTAAGTAAAAAAAAGAACAATAAATACTAATTCACTGTATGACAAAATAATTTGTACTTGACAATTTTCAATCTATCCTAATTCGATAGGGCCAGATTTTATTTTTTGAAATCGGAGGTCAAGTCGACAAGGGCCAGGTTCTTTCTCCTAAAATCAGCTTTAAATTGGTGTTGAGTTTTAAGTTGCACTGTTTTGGCTCGATCAGAATATATATATATATATATATATATATTTAGTTTTATATTTATATATATTATATTAATAAAAATATTATATTTATGTATAATTAAAATGTGATTTATATTAAAAATAATAATTTATAAATATTATATTAAATTAAAATTATAAATTAATCTTCGACCGATTGTGATTTATGAATATATAAATCTAAGTAAAAAATATTTTGATATATGATCAAAGTTGGGTTTAAATATTAAAAGGTTGAATCATAATCGATTGAAATAAAAACTTATCTCAATCTAATTCATTATCATCTCCACTGTCAGCTCAAAGACAAAACTTTTTTTTATGTTATATTCCATGTGTGAATATTGTGATTCAACGAAGACATGGTTGATAATTTAATGAATATTTTTATGATATTAGTAGAAATTACTAATAAATTATCTTTAAAAGAGTGACAATATTTTATTTAAGGATTTTTTTTTTGGCTTAATTGATAAAACAAACACCAAGTTGCCAACGTACTTATATATTCCTGCTCAAAAAGAAAATACCAAAATATAAAACGTAGTTTGGGTAATTTTTTTACATAAGATGTCTTATTCAAAAGGATTTGCATTAGGAATAAATGAACATGTGAATTTGAAGATAAAATATTTATAAAAAAATAGAAAACGATGGAGATTCAAAGCGGCGAGGAAAAGGTTCCTGGCAAAGATGATATTGTTTGTTCATTCGAGTGGATATAGTGGCTAATGATATAAAGGAGAAAAAGTTTGCATATTAAATAAAAAAAAATTTATTAAATATACTGATAAACTAAGAATCGAGTTTCATAAACGAAAAAAAAATTACATATATTTTAAAGATATATTTAAAAAATAAAACTAACATATGTATTTTTTTAATATCATTTTATAAAATTAAAAATTTATACGAATAACATATTAAATATTAATTCATTAAATAATACAATATTTTAATTGAATAAACAAATTGTAAAGTTCCTTTGTGCCATATCCACAACCATAATCCCACGACGATTGTCTGGAGTTCACAAAAGAAATTAGAAAAAGACGCGTGGGGCTTGCCTACCCACCGCACACTCCATCATTATCCCCCATCCCACATTTCCTATATTCAACTTTTTTTAATTCTTCATTTTTTCCCCTAACTTCATACATAGGACCTTTTCTTTTTCGAAAGAGAAAAGGAAATTATTTATATATTTTTATAAAAAGACCAAAAATATCTTCAAATTTTTTTTGAATTTAATTTTTCTTCGAAATGATCTTAATTAAATGTGCGCTTCTTCATATCAAATTAATACATTTAAAATTTTATTCTCAAATACTTTTCACAAAAATTAAATTAGGTTGAAAAAAAAAAGAGAAAACTCCTTCTTACCAAATAAATTAAACTCTTTGGGTAAAAAAAATTTACACTACAAATTGATTTTAATCTCGTGCAATGTACGAATTATAATTTTGAATTTATATTATTAATTTGTTATATAAATGTTAGTTTATATAAATTAAAAAAATAAAATTATGAATTTATTAAAAATATTTTAACTTTGAGTTTGAAAGTATTGAATATAATTTATGTATTGCTTAATAAAAGAAAATTTTTTTATGTATTGAATAATAAGCGAAATAAATTTATATTTTTTATTAATAAATTATTCATTATTTCAAGTTTCATATTCATGGATTTTTTGTTAATAAATTATTTAACAATATTTATTCAATAGTTTTAGTAAATGTTGACATTCTAAATTTTAATTGATTTTAATAATTAACATTTATCTTCAAATGACTGAATATATTGAACTTTGTTACTGAAATAACTAGTAATAAAATAATTCCTTTAAGTATTTTAGCAAATGGTTATTTTTATCAAAAATAAAAAATAATTTATTAATTATTACATAAATTAGCATACTTATTAGGGGAACTTTTTTTTTTTGTTAAAAAAACAAATGTATTTACATGGGCATTGAAAAAAATTAAGAAATGTGTGCCAAAATACAAGACGAATATTTAAAAAAAAAATATTTTTTATAAGAAACTTTATAAAATTAAGTAAGAATAAAAGAATATTTCAGTGATCATTAATTTTAGCAGTGGTTCATTTCCCTAATTGTTAATTTCTTGATTATGGAATCCATAATATAAAATCTTCTGATTTTGTCATTATATGATTTTGTGAGCAACTCAGAGTGAATATTTTATTATAGTATAATATAATTGCCGAGCATTAAAGAAATTTGAAGCAAAGCAAAGACTGATTTTTTAGTAGATTTAATAATTTATAAATTTATGTTGTGTAAAATATTAAAATTTATATATTTATATCATATTTTATATATAAATTATATATTTAAATTTATATTAATATAAAAATATAAAATATATTTTTTAATTTTATTAAATTTATATATAATTATATCTAAAATTTTTAATTATATCACTTTTAGAATTTTTTATTTATATTAAATTTATATTATATTACTGGTGTTTTAAATTGTTGTATCTTCTTTTGAGGCAATGGTACGGGGATTGGCTGACATTCCTGGAAAAGGTGACATCTGCAACGGTGGAAAATTCATGAATAAAAAAAGGGCAAAAAAACCCCACAAATTGCACTAATAAACAAGTTTAAAATCCGCCTCTTAATCATCAATACGGTGACCACGAGATCTCCGCACAATGCCACACTCCCTATGCATTCTACCACGAGTTTGCACTGTTGGTCCTTCGACTATAACGAAAAGACTACATTCTCACCCACTCCACAATCCCCGTCACCATCATGCAACGCCCACACCCACATGCCCCACACTGCCATTAGACAAAAATCATGATTCTCTTGTGGCCTTACGAAGCGCCCAAGATTTCCTTTCATCGCGACAAAAGATATCTATTATTTCGTGGGGACGTACATTTAATTTGTAAAATATTATTTATTTTAATTTAAAATTTTATAATTTTATTTTATAAAAAATATTTTATAAATTTAAATTTAAGTTTTTATGTATGAATATCATAATAAAATTTTAAAATATTTTAATATAAGATTAATATCATAAATTCTCTTATTAAAATTTGATATTTTTATCAAATATAATATAAAATATACAAATTTATCGAATTACATAAAATATTTGATAAACTCAACACAAAACAAAAACACACATAAATTATAAGATCATACTAAATGTTAATATTATAAAAGTGACTATTATCATGTAACACTTAACTTTCGTAAGATTTTAAATGTGACTCTCATGATATAACATTTAGCTTCTATTCGAGTGATGATTATTCTGATATCATTTGTGTAGATCGATACCCAACTTACGAGATATTATTTATTTTTATCTAAAAATCTTATGATTTTATCTCATAAAAAGTACCTAATAAATTTTTAAGTTTAAGACTCTACATATACATATTATAATAGATTCTCAAAACATTTCATATGAAATTAGGACGTTACAAAATTTTGTGACATTCTAATCTTACATCAGAATGCTTTGAAAATCTATTATGATATATATATGTAGAGATTTAATTTTAAATTTGTGAGATACTTTTTGTAAAATAAAATAATAAGATTTTCGAATCAAAATAAATAATACTTCATAAATTAGATGTATATTTTTATAAATGTTATCAAAATAATCACTAATCAAATTTGATGAATGTATTGAGTTTGACAAAAACATCAAACTTTAAGACAGGATCTCTATATTAGAGTGGGTACCCAACGTTTGGTGAGATAATATAAGATTTTGTATGATATATATAAATATTTAAATTTAAATTTATAATATATTTTTTATAAAATAAAATCATAAAATTTTTAAATTAAAATAAATAATAACTCGGAAATTAATTTTATCTCTTCGCAAATTCTCTTTGACAAATAAAGCCAACGTATCCGCATGCATTTGCTGTAACATCGTGCCAGTGGGCGTGCAGAATCTGCAGAATCTGTGCTGTGGGCCTTTTCTCTTTTAGTTAAAAAAAAGAACACCATAGTTGTTCAGCTCAGCTACTATTACTGCTTATTCATAGTATATAGAGTAATAGTCACACATTTCAACATTTAATCTCTTGGAAAAGAAGTTTCAATGGCTATTTTAAGATGTCGATATATACAAATTTTTTTAATATTTTAATTTTTAAAAAATAAAAGAAAAAGTTAAAGAAATTTCGCCCCTGTGCAAGGGAAAGTTATGAAAGAAAAAAGTTAACAAAATCTGCCTACTTACAATGTATTCAAGAATGGTAGGCAATTAAACTTCGTTAGCTATATTTAGAAAGCAAATCAATCATTGATACATGTTTTAATTATGATTATGTTATTTGGTAGGTTCCAGTAAAGATAGTTGTGGAAAGCAAGACGAATTTTGTGGAAAAGAAATGATAGTTGGCAAAAGTTGGCATCCTTCTAATCAATATTTTCATCCCTTTTTCTTCAAAGAACATTTATCACTTTAATATAGGTTTTAATCTCTTTATAAAATATTAAATTAATTTTAATTGATTTATGTAATTATTTTTAAAAAATGATATATAATACATTTAAAATTTAAATCTCAATATTTATCATTATTTTCTTATATTGAGATTGTGTCTTCTTTTGTAAGAAAAAAAAATTATATATGATCAAATTTATAATAATTGTAAAATTCACTAAAATTAAAATTTTAATATTTTATAAAAATTATGTTAATTTCTTCTATAGATTCCTCATAAAAAAAATTATATATTTATGAAAGTAAATCCAAGATTCCTGTAAGTCAATCAGTCCGCACATTGAAATGAGTAGGTAAGCAGGGAGAAAATAAAGACAATTTATGAATGTTTTAGAAATGTCGACACAATTTACGGCATCCTTATTATCAAATTGACAGATTCATTTGACATAATTTCGTAAGACTAAGCAAATCAACCTTTCTATTGTCAGAAACTGGTCCCAAGGTAATATTCGCTGTTCATGCTATAAAATAATACGGTGGCATTGTTCAATTTACGACTCAGAGTTAGAAAGGAAAGATAAGGATTAGTTTTAGCAAAATTTTGGGGTCGGGAAGATGCCAAGATGGTGACTGTTCATTGTTGTTTGCTTTTAAAAATGCTGCTGAACAATCCCACTTTGTAAAGCACCAAACCCTCCTCGCCAGCACTCTTGAAACGAGCCACGTGCTTTGTTCACACCGTCTTGCATTTTGCTTCTTCAAACCAACCTCGAAGCTGTTGTTTTATGCCATGAATGTGAGTGACTACTTCCTCGGTTTCAGTTTTGGTTCTATTTTTCGATTCTTTTATCTTCTTATTTAGATTGGGTGTTCGATTTTTTTGGTCTTCGGGGCACTGATAGAGGCATTGTTTTTGCAGGCTACCTTTTCTCAAAACCTGAGACTTTCTTTCTCAGTGTCTTCGGTTTTGATTGGGGGATAATAGGATTCTGAGTCAGCTCTGATGAAGGTCTCTTTAGAACTTGTAAATGCACCATTTGTCATTGCTTTTCTAACATGGATTACCATAGACATTTTGAAACGTAGGAGACATGACGCTATGACTCACTTCAAACATAGAATAGGGACAGAAGCAAGAGTTTTTACTGCTATAATTGTTCTATCTAATGTTATAATCTCTACTTTATACTTGGGTTTTGGGTTTTATATTTTTTGGAATAGTGGAATTGTCCCTACCAAACCCGTCTGCTCGGCCATCACTTGGTTTCTGGCAAGTTTAGTTACAATCTATTCAAAAAACAAAACTTTCAGTGAGCACAAAACCTGGCCTTTAGTCCTGATAGTATGGTGGGTGTTTTCCTGCATTTTTCTTTCACTTTCTGCAGTGGTTTACCTTATCCACCACTTAAAATCCAAAGAATTGCCCTATCCTTTGCCAGAAGCCAACATCGTTGATATAGCTTCCTTGCCTTTGTTGATACTGCTTTGTTGCTGTCTACCTCTTGCTATTAGTGAAAACAGTGATCTTAAAAATCCATTGCTTCGCAAGAAGGATGAAAACTCCTCCAGAGATGATGGTAGTTTCACTAATGCTAGCATCTGGAGCCAACTCACATTTCGATGGCTAAACCCTCTCTTTGAAAGGGGTCGAATTGAAAAACTTGAGTTGCACCATATTCCTCCAGTTCCGGAATCAGAAACTGCAGATAATGCTTCGTTGTTGCTGGAAGAATCACTTCGAAGACAGAAAACAGAATTTTCTTCATTGCCAAAAGCAATAACTCGTACCATAAGGAGATCCCTGGCTCTAAATGCAGTTTTTGCAGGTATTTTCTTCTCAATTCATTGTGTCTATTTTCAAATTCTGTTTGCAGCAGATTATAATGCTTCTGTTTACTTTTTGTAGGACTTAATACAATTGCCTCCTATGTCGGACCCTTCCTTATCGCCAGCTTTGTGAATTTCTTAAAGGAAAAGCATGATAGTTCAGGCTACCAATATGGGCTGGTTCTTGCGTTTATCTTCTTCTTTTCAAAGACTCTGGAATCACTAACTCAACGACTGTGGTACTTCGGCGCTCAGAGAATTGGAATAAGGGTTCGTGCAGCTCTCACAGTATTGATTTACAAAAAATCTCTATCAACTAAGTTTGTTGGTCCCAGCAATGGTAAAATCATAAATCTCATAAATGTGGATGCTGAAAGAATTGGAGACTTTTGCTGGTACATTCATGGAGTGTGGTTGCTACCAATCCAAGTCTTTCTGGCCTTGGTAATACTGTACAGGAATCTGGGTGCTGCTCCTTCCGTTGCTGCTGTCTTTGCTACAATTTTGGTGATGGTAAGTAACACTCCATTAGCCAATAGGGAAGAGAGACTTCACTCCAAGATCATGGAAGCCAAGGATTCAAGAATAAAAGCAACTTCAGAGACTCTAAAAAGCATAAGAGTCCTGAAACTTCATTCATGGGAACCCACTTTCTTGAAGAAGCTTCTTCAACTTAGAGAAACAGAGAGAAACTGGCTTAAGAAGTATCTATATACATGCTCAGCTGTTGCTTTTCTGTTTTGGGCATCACCAACTCTGGTGTCAGTCATCACATTTGGTGTCTGCATTTTCTTAAAAACACCATTAACATCAGGAACAGTACTTTCAGCTCTAGCAACTTTCAGGATTCTACAAGAACCTATATACAACCTTCCAGAGCTCATTTCCATGATTGCTCAGACAAAAGTCTCATTTGATCGAATTCAAGAGTTCCTTGGAGAAGAAGATCAAAGGACGTTCTTACCTGATGGTGGTTCAAAAGCATCCGATGTTGCGATTGAAATTGAGACAGGGGAATATGCTTGGGAAACATGCAGCCAAAACTTAAAGAATCCAACCATCAAAATCACAAAGAAGATAAAAATAATGAAAGGTTATAAGATTGCTATTTGTGGCTCCGTAGGCTCAGGCAAATCAAGCCTACTTTGCAGCATACTAGATGAGATCCCTAGGATTTCTGGTGCAGGTATTAAGGTTTATGGGAAAAAGGCTTATGTTCCTCAGAGATCTTGGGTTCAAACAGGCACTGTCAGAGAGAATATATTGTTTGGGAAGGATATGGATAAGGTTTTCTATGAACGTGTTCTTCAAGCATGTGCCTTGAACCAAGATATTGAGATGTGGGATAATAAAGATATGAGTGTTGTGGGAGAGAGGGGAATGAACTTGAGTGGAGGCCAGAAGCAGAGGATTCAGTTGGCAAGGGCCATCTACAGTGATTCTGATATTTATATCCTAGATGACCCTTTCAGTGCGGTTGATGCTCACACAGGAACACATTTGTTCAAGGTTAAAAAAAAATAAAAAATCCTAACTATCTTTTCAATTGCTATTTGTTATTGAAGCTGCACACTTGTTTCCATATTCTTAGATGAAGTTCCCTATTGTGTGATAAATTTTTTGCAGAAATGTCTCACAGGATTGTTGTCTCAGAAGACTGTCATTTATGCTACACACCAATTGGAATTTTTAGATGCAGCAGACCTAGTTCTGGTAAGCTCCTCACTGATAAGTGATAACTGCTAAGAATTAACAGTTGCAGTGTTTCATATTACCTTCTGTGCATGTTCTTGTAGGTGATGAAAGAAGGTCTCATTGTTCAGTCAGGAAAATATGAGGAGTTGATTGCTGATTCTGATGGTGAACTTGTTAGGCAAATGAATGCTCATAGAAAATCACTAGAACAAGTGAACCCACCCCAAGAAGACGATTCCTTGACTGCTGGACCCTATCAGAAAAGTCAAATCGAAGTCATAGAAGAAAAATATGGTGAACCCATCTGCCATGGCAAGCTCTTCGAAAGGAGTCAAGAAGAAGAAACAGAAACTGGTCGTGTCAAATGGAGTGTTTACTCAACCTTTGTCACTGCGGCTTATAAGGGAGCTCTTGTGCCAGTCATCCTCCTCTGCCAAGTTCTCTTCCAGGGACTACAGATGGGAAGCAATTACTGGATTGCTTGGGCAACAGAGGAAAATCACAGGGTATCAAGAGAACAGTTAATAGGCATATTTGTTTTGCTGTCTGGTGGAAGCTCCATCTTCGTACTGGGAAGGGCAGTTTTGCTGGCAACTATTGCGGTGGAGACATCTCAACGCCTTTTTATTGGAATGATAACATCAGTTTTCCGTGCACCCATTTCATTCTTCGACTCTACTCCCTCAAGTCGAATTCTCAGCAGGGTTAGTTTCTTGTTTGCAACAAAGTGCAGCTGCTTTTCGCTTTCCATAATGTTGCCTAAATATTTCAGAAATCAAAATATAATTCTCTCTCTGGTTATTACAGTCTTCTACAGATCAAAGCACATTAGACACAGACATTCCCTACAGATTAGCCGGGCTGGCATTTGCTTTAATTCAGTTGTTCAGTATCATCATCCTTATGTCCTATGTTGCCTGGCAGATCTTCCTTCTCTTCCTCGCCATCCTTGGAATCTCCTTTTGGTATCAGGCAAGTACCAAAACCATCTAAATTCATATTCTACTTGTGTGGCATAATATGCAAAAAGTGCCAAAGAAATTGCAAAAGACAATGACTAATAGAACTTGCATTTACATGTAGAAATTTTATTTTACTTTTATGTCTTCATGATGTTTCAAATTCTAAACGCCCTAAATTATCTACAGAACTATTATATTTCGACTGCTAGGGAGCTAGCCAGGATGGTTGGAATTAGAAAGGCTCCTATCTTGCATCATTTCTCTGAATCTATCACAGGAGCAGCAACAATTCGTTGTTTCAGCCAGGAAGACAGATTCTTGGAGAAAAACCTGAGCTTGATTGATGATTATTCTCGTGTAGCCTTCCATAACTCTGGCACAATGGAATGGCTGTGTGTTCGAATCAACTTTCTTTTCAACTTTGTCTTCTTCCTGGTGTTGATCATCCTGGTGAGCTTGCCCAGATCCGAAATTGATCCCAGTAAGTCCTTTCCTCCTGCCTCTTTTTTTTCTTTTAATCTTGATAGTTGACTTTTGTCAAGTTTCTTCCGTTTGAAATCACTAATGTTGAGTTTCTAACTAAAAAGCATATTGGTTTGGTATCAGGCTTGGCAGGATTGGCAGCTACATATGGTTTAAACTTAAATGTACTGCAGGCGTGGGTAATATGGAACTTATGCAATGTTGAAAACAAAATGATATCAGTTGAAAGAATTCTTCAATTCACAAACATACCTAGTGAAGCTCCCTTAGTGATCGAGGACTGTAGGCCAAAGCCTGAATGGCCAACAGAAGGAAGAATTGAACTTGAAAACCTCCAGATGCAGTACAAACCTACTCTCCCTATGGTTCTTAAAGGCATAACTTGCATTTTCCCGGGACAAAAGAAAATTGGAGTTGTTGGCAGAACAGGGAGTGGAAAGTCCACTCTAATTCAGGCTCTCTTCAGGGTGGTGGAGCCTTCAGGAGGACGGATTGTTATTGATGGAGTAGATATTTCTTCTATTGGTTTGCAAGATTTGAGGTCCAGATTGGGCATAATCCCACAAGACCCAACATTGTTTCAAGGAACCATAAGGACCAATCTGGATCCTTTACAACAGCATACAGATCAAGAAATCTGGAAGGTAAATGTTAAGACCTGGTTTCTTTGGAAATATTTATACTAAATTATCTGGTTTAACTGAAATAAACTCATGACAGGTCCTCAAAAAGTGTCGTCTTGCAGACATAGTGAGGCAGGATCAAAGGCTTCTTGATGCTCCAGGTACAAAAATTTAATAATTGCAAACCACTTGATATAATTGCCAGGGTAGTTGATACTGAAATCTGGTAACTTGTGCAGTCGCTGAAGATGGAGAGAATTGGAGTGTTGGACAAAGGCAGCTTGTTTGCTTGGCTAGGGTGCTCATAAAGAAAAGGAGAATTTTGGTGTTGGATGAGGCCACAGCTTCCATTGATACGGCCACAGATAATGTCATCCAGGAGACAATAAGAGAAGAGACAAGCAGATGTACCGTCATCACTGTGGCACATCGGATACCAACTGTTATTGACAATGACTTGGTTCTGGTTCTTGATAAAGGTAAGTTGAATTAATCCTATTAAAAACCATTTTTTTCTGCTTACCATCATAAAATAACTAATAGGATGAGTCACATAAAGCGACTCACCACTTGAGGCTGAACTATTGCTGGCATTAATATGCTGAAATATGACAAATTTGAAACGTAGTTAATGTTATTCAAGAATGCAGACGGTAAATATCAGATAAGCATAAGTCCAATAGCATAAAGTAGTACTGCTTTGGATTTTAGATAATGCTGCATTTGGAAATTGATTTTAGCTGATTGCTATAAATATGTTGCTTAATGCCAGGGAAAATTGTAGAGTACGATATGCCCGGGGTATTACTTGGGGACAATTCTTCTTCATTCTCGAAGTTGGTGGCTGAATTCTTGAGATCATCCAAGAGTAACCACCATAAGAATATGTTTTGAGGATAGACAGAAATGATACATGGATTGCAAAAATGTGGGAGGGGTCTAATGGATTCTCCACCAACACGAGAGCTTTTGGATTTTGATGAAGATTTCTGCCATGGAATCCTGACGATCAACTTCTTTTGGGGGTGGTTGGAATGTCAGAAAAATAAGGAGGAAAGTTAGGGTGACATCAGTGCGACATAATGATTGATATTCTTATCACTTCAATTTCTTTGGATATAAAGGAAGCTGGGTTTGCAAAGATGATTAGTTTGTGTACATCTGATTGAACATGAGGGCCTGTTTGAGAAACCATAGGGGGATTTTCCTTTCGGCACAGTTTCAACTAAGGGTCAACTCCACTGAGCAATTCCCTCCTTCCACTGAGAGGACTTTCCTTCTTTCCTCCATTCTGATGTTTTACTCAGCATGTCAAATTCATGAAGTTTTGGACTGCACGCATTTAAATTAGGCTTTATACTCTCCTGTGGAAAATAATGGATTAATATGCATCCTATAGAAAGATTTCGGCATGAGTATTACCACTTACAAACACCTGCTAATGTTTAACAATTTCTCTCAATTACTTGCCATCACCATCCACGTTCAAAAGTATTAGCAGTAGTTGACATTACTGATTGTAACTTACAAGGCCTAGTTTTGGCAGAAAAGTTATTTGATAGTTTTTTCTAAGTTGACATATGAGCAGGAAAACTTGGATCGACACTTATAGATTCAAATATAAGAAAGCAGCTGCTGTAGCTGACAAGCTTGATGTGTACATATCTTCCTTTAATGTCTCTCATAAGTTGATATAAACTTTAGTAAAGCTGATTTTTTTTTTTTGTATGTTTTGTCTGGTGACAATTTGTGTATGTAGCATGCCGCATGTCCATATTATTTATCCTCGTTAGAGAGTTGTGAAATTTGCTAAGCATTTACAGACGCCTGACACAAAGAGAGAAACCCAGATATTACCAGGCAGCAACACAAGCTTTAAACTTTAATTGTAAGGACCACTCATGAGAGCTGACTTCATATGACATTTACTTAACACTAACAAATCCTGTAACAATGAGAAACCCCAATACTACCTAACAGCAACATAGGCTTTAAACTTTAATTGTGAGGCTTATACAGTTAAAGAGGAGCCTTTCAAAACTAGGTGTATGCCGCCGTTTGCTACAAACACACGGTATTCTTTAGTAAAAGGCAAAAGAATAGTTCGCTCTGCGCTCATTGCGCGGCTGCAAACGTTGGGAAGGAGAAACCTGTCTCATTTTATAGAACTTCTCACGCTATTAGCTCTCTAGCTTCTTGATGTGGGATAATGTTGGCTTGCTTGCTTGCTTTTTGGTAATAAAGTTTAGTACAATTTAAGAGTGGCTTCCTCGAGGAAGTTGGAACTTCCCAATACAAATATCAGAAAGTTAAAACTGTTACAGAAACTTTTTTTATATAACGAATCAAACTTGCTTTCTTCTTCCCGGTCATTTTTTATAATCTGATAGACACACAAAAGATATAAACTCTCCTTAAAAGACTACTGAGACTGAAATTTGAACTGATCATTAACCATGGATTAGGCATCATCGTTATGGATACAGATTTCAATTTGTAGTTCATCTACCTGCAAGAAGTTTGATTTTGTGTTTGTATGCTTATTTTCAAGGCTGAGGATTTACTTTTCTGGCGCCTAATATAGAAAGATGTCTTGAGAAAATAAGGGGGGAAAGGTCAGAAAATGTTAATGGCACAATAGAATATGACCATTGATGTCCCGTAATATTCTCGTATGATTTTAGTTATAACTCTGTTCAGAAACGGTGACATTTCCTGTAAGGCACAATTCCACTAACTTACCTTTTTTTTTAACCTTTCCTTCAACATTCCTTTACAAAAAATATGGGCTTGGAGCCTAAGTGAGAATGATATGGGCTTGAATGATACAAAAAGTATGCTATTAATAGTACAAGACAAATTGAAAAGATATAAATAATAAAAAGTAAATTGTAAAAGCATTTAATCTTGAGCTTATTCCAGATTCATGCAATCATGATATCCAATAATTGGGATCTGGAGGTGATGGATAAAACTTTCGTAAAGTTATAAAGGTGAAGTCCACGAAGTTTCTTATTAAAAATAATATATAAAAATATTATTTATAATTTAAATTTGATTGATATTTATTTAATAATAAAAATTTTATTAATATTTTTATTAAAATATTTATTTAATAAATATAATAAATTTTTTTAATTTAATCTATCCATTTTAATTTTTATTTATTTATTTTTAATAAAAAATTTTATGAATTTTATTTATAAAATTTCATGTAAATTTTTTCAGATGCGATATTCAATAATTGATATTCAAATCTTATTATTTAAAATTAATGTTAATTTTTTTATGTAATTATTTTTAAAAATAATATTTAATAAATTTAAGTTCGGATATCAAAATATGCAATTAAAGATGTCAACAGGATGGATTTATACTGGCCCAATTTCGATTTGATTCTTTAATACTTTCATTCAATTTTATCTTGACCAATTATTTAATTATTATTTTTGACATATGATTTCAATTCAATACATATATATATATATATATAACTCGTATATAATTCAAATCAATTTAAAATTAATTTAATAATTTTAATTTAATATAATGTTGATAAAATATTATTTTTAATATAAATTAATCTTAAGTATATATAAATATAATATTTTTAAATTAATATCTTAAATCAAAATATTAAATAATAAATTTATTTATACAATACATATAAATAAATAAATAATAAAATATATTATATATCCCAAGATGAGACACAGTATTTTAAATTTACTTCCAATCCAATTTCAATTTTCTAACTAGCTTGTCTCAACTCGATTTTGACTTTAAAAAAAATCAACTTCTATCGTTTAGAATGGATCAAAATTTATGGTATTCAAATTATTTTATTATCTCTTTTTACGATCTCTTTTCTACCTTAAAATTGCAAATTATTTTATAATACGAAAAAGAGTAGTTAAAACGTCAGTCCATTATTAAATTAAATAAGGTAAAAATATTTTCCACTAAATCATTTAATTTAAACTTCATATACAGCGAGGACTTATCTGTTTATACAGTGGTACAAGTAGCACTTCATTATCCTATTTTATGTTAGTTAAAAAAGAAGAATTCCCCCACTCCCAATATCAATCAAGATTTTGAGATTTCAATTACAAAGAAAACAGCTTCCATAACGCAATCGAGGGTTAGGGATCGGCGGGCCCACCGATATGAATTCCTAATCCAGCTTACATTAACGCGCATATAGTGATACTTGCAACAAATCAATAAGCACATATATATATATATATATATATATATTTCATAAAAAATGATATGATTTGTGTTTTTATATGTTTTTATTACGTAAAATATAAATAATTGCAAGCCACTCGATATAATTGGCAGGTTAGTTGACACTGAAATCTGGTAACTTGTGCAGTCGCTGAAGATGGAGAGAACTGGAGTGTTGGACAAAGGCAGCTTGCTTGCCTGGCTAGGGTGCTCATAAAGAAAAGGAGAATTTTGGTGTTGGATGAGGCCACAGCTTCCATTGATACGGCCACAGATAATGTCATCCAGGAGACAATAAGAGAAGAGACAGGCAGATGTACGGTCATCACTGTGGCACATCGGATACCAACTGTTATTGACAATGACTTGGTTCTGGTTCTTGATAAAGGTAAGTTGAATTAATCCTATTAAAAACCATAGTTTTCTGCTTACCATCATAAAATAACTAATAGGATGAGTCACATAAAGCGATTCACCACTTGATGCTGAACTATTGCTGGCATTAATATGCATCAATATGACAAATTTGAAACACTGTTAATGTTATTGAAAACGCAGACGGTAAATATCAGATAAGCATAAGTCCAATAGCATAAAGTAGTACTTCTTTGGATTTTAGATAATGCTGCATTTGGAAATTGATTTTAGCTGATTGCTATAAATATGTTGCTTAATGCCAGGGAATATTGTAGAGTACGATATGCCCGGGGTATTACTTGAGGACAATTCTTCTTCATTCTCGAAGTTGTGGCTGAATTCTTGAGATCATCCAAGAGTAACCACCATAAGAATATGTTTTGAGGATAGACAAAAATGATACATGGATTGCAAAATGTGGGAGGTATCTAATGGAGTATGCCCCAACACGAGAGCTTTTGGACTGTAATCAAGATTTCTGCCGTGGAATCCTGACGATCAACTTCTTTTGGGGGCTTATAGTTGGAATTTCAGATAGAAAAATATGAAGGAAAATTAGGGTGACGTCAGTACGACAAAATGATTGATATTCTTATCACTTCAAATTCTCTGGATATAAAGGAAGCTGGGTTTGCAAAGATGATTAGTTTGTGTACATCTGATTGAACATGAGGGCCTGTTTGAGAAACCATAGGGGGATTTTCCTTTTGGCACAGTTTCAACTAAGGGTCAACTCCACTGAGGAGCAATTCCCTCCTTCCGCCGAGAGGACTTTCCTTCTTTCCTTAATTCTGATATTTTACTCAGCATGTCAAATTCATCAAGTCTTGCATTGCATGCATTTAAATTAGGCTTGATACTCTCATGTGGAAAACAATGAATTAATGTGCATTCCAGAGAAAGATTTCGGCATGAGCATTACCACTTACAACCACCTGCTAGTTAAACAATTTCTCTCAATTACGTGCCACCACCACCAGGTTCAAAAGTATTAGCAGTAGTTGACATTGCTAATTGTAATTTACAAGGCCTAGTTTTGGCAGAAAAGTTGTTAGATAGCCTTTTCTAAGTTAATATATGAGCAGGAAAACTAGGATCGACACTTATAGATTCAAATATAAAAAAGCAGCTGTTGTAGCTAACCAGCTTGATGTGTACATATCTTCCTTTAATGTCTCATAAGTTGATATAAACTTTAGTAAAGCTGATTTTCTTTTTAATGTTTTGTCTGGTGACTATATGTATATATAGCATGCCATGTGTCCATATTCTTTTTCCTCGTAAAAGAGTTGTGAGAACAAGTTTTGCAAACTAAAACTGCTAAATGCCCTTAGCATTAACCAAGTACCAATATAGCACCCATGAGAGCTGACTTTCTAAGAGAAACATGAAATTTGCAAAGGATTTACAGACCCCTGACACAATGAGAGAAACCTAGATATTACCAAGCAGCTTTAAACTTTAACTAGTTTTAAAACTCGTGCGATACATGAAAATATATTCATATATTAATAAATTTTATATAAATATAAATTTTTAAAATAATAATATAAGTTATGAAGTTTACGAACAACTTATAACTTATATAATCATTTTTATTTAAATTTATATATTTTAATATAATAAAATAAATTAATTATATATTGAATATACTTATGCAATTATCATCAATTCTAAAGAAAACTCAAACTATAATTTATTAAATCCAAATAATTTTTAAAACAAAAGACAATAATGTTTTTGATCTAAAAAAATTAAAAATTTCATCCTTAAAATCAATCTCAGATACAAAATTTTTTATGAGAGAATCTTCTATAAGTTAGTTATTGAAGCAAAGATGCAACAACTGTTTTTTCAATATTTCTTATTATCTTTGAAGTAGGTGTCATTTTATTTTATGAGCCAATAGATTTCACAGAAGGAGGTGAAAAGATAAATAAGACAACAATCTATAATTTGACAACAATTGAGTTGTCATCTATACCATATAATTTTATAACAAACATGATAATTATAATAAGTTTATTCTTATCTCTTTCAATAATTTTTTACATCCAAGCTTAGGATCATAATTATACACTTTATTCACTATAAGTTTGGTACTATTTGTCTCAAGATTATACTTGGTTGCTCTCATCTCAAGTACACAAATTTTGTCTCAGAGATCTTCAAATATCTCTTGGATTTTATAATCTCTGTTTTCCTAAATTATAAGTATATATATATATATATCATTCAATTAATTTAAATATTAAATAATATTAAAATAATTTTTAACTAAATACCTTAACAAATATTTCATAAAGATCATCAATATCTCTATTAATTAAATCTTTAGCTTTTGTATTGAACTATATCGCCTTTCCGAAATTATCATTTGCATCAATATTCAACTTGTATCTATAAAAAATACAAAATTCTACGATTATAAATATAATATAATAATTTAAAATACTTTTACTATCATCATGAAATAATAATTTTTTTATATATCAAATATAAAAAATATAAATATAAATTACCTTGGAGTTAGATTAGGGATATCAACTTTGTAGGAATAATATTGAAAATTTTCATCAATTTTTCAGATATTGTTTTGTTACACCCACTTGACATATATTACCAACCAAAAGTGATATAAACTTTTATGATAATGATTCTACTTGTGAAAGACTTTCCCCATATATACCTAATTATCTTTAAATCAATCATCAACAAAAAATATTAAAAAAAGCTAATATCATAGTTAAAGAAATATAAAATATAAGTATAAAAAAAAAATTATCTTTGAGTAGCACAGACCAAGAAATAATGCAAAGTAAAAATTAGAGAAAAAATTGAAGTAAAGTTGAGT